GCTCAGTGAAACACATTCCCCCTTCACCTAACTGAAAAGAGTCAGGAAGCAATCCTCCCTCCTCCGGCTGCAGACTGTGGAAGAATCAGGAGGAGTACAGGTTCATGCTGCACTAATGGATGTTTACACAACTCACTATCAGCCACAAGAGCCCAGAAATCACATGCTCCCTCCGCTCTCTGCTCCCCCGGCTGTGACTAAACCGCCCTTATGTTTTTAGCTGAAATTTTTATTTGTCAAGAGATGTTTTTAGGAAGGTTCGTGGTCGGATTCGAGGTTGATTGTCCATTGTTATCCTCTGCTAGCTCTTTATTTCTCCCTCTCGGCTCTGCTCCACACTCAACCCTCCCTCTTTCCCTCCCCCTCCTCGGCTCTCCCCTGTTCTCTCCACTCTCCCCTTTGCTCTTGCCAGTAACGGCCTTAACCGTTTGGCTTCATGTCAAAGCAGGGGCCTTTTGTGGCTCTGTCACAAATCTGCCAGGAAAAACAGAAACCATCTGTTCAGGCCTGGGCCTGAGCAGGGATGAGGGTGTAAATACATGAGTTTAGCCCTCGCCTTCAGCCCTGCCCGCACACAGGACCACCGAGCCCAGCAGAAGATCCTGCACTCCCACCCGCAATTATTCTGTAGTCTACAGGGGTTTTATGGTTTCCCTTATTAAGTCTCAATCTTCAGGAAAGGAGATGAAATGACTTAAAAAATACTGAATATAAAACTAAATGTGATCATTTCAGAGATAATTCTTCTTCTAAATATAAAATCGTAGTATCCAGAGACTGAGGATCCAGTTTCCTTAAACACCTGTTGACTTTAGTTTTTAAATGTACTAGCACACACTGAGATATTATTTTATTTGAATATACTTTGAAATTTTAAGAAAATACATATTGATACACCATCTGTCTCAGGTAATACACTAGAGAGCACATCAATTTAAATTATAAATCTAAAAATTCTTTCAAGACAGATGAAATTGCAAAGGAAGCATTGCCATATGTAATTTTGAACTCTACATCCATTTCACACATACATGCTTGTTTGTAGACAACCACTTAAAGTGGTAGTAACTGAAATGGAAGCTCTGAGTGTCGTGATAGGAGGGTAAGCCCTTTCCTTGTCGGATAATCCACCGACCAGAAAGCTCCTGCAGATGGAAGCAGTCTAAAACGCCTTATAATACTGAGCTTATGTTGTCACTATCTCATGTTCTGCAGAGTGGCAGCACACTCTGTACCGCTCTGCAGTGATTTAGTGGACTGGGGGAAAATTATGGCAATGAGGCCAGGGCCAGTTTAGATTTCTGTTTCAAGTAGTTCCATGTATTTTCTTCACTTGATCCAGGTTGACTGTTTTCAGATACAGATTTGTCGTCTTTTATTTTTATGAAGAAATGGCAACTTTACTTGTAAGTCTCCAAAGGTCCACATAAACTCACAAGTTAAACACACAATCAGGGAGAAGAAATGGAAGGTAATGTAAGTTGAAGTGTTGCTGTAGGCATATAGTGCATTTGATAGATAAAAGTACACAGTCAATGTGAGGGATTGGATAACAGCATGTGACTTCAGAGGAACCAAATTTGACATGCATGCAGACTCACAGAGGTAATCTGTCAATCTCCCATTGACACCAATTGACAGCCTCTCTCAACCACAACTGCACTTTACTACAAAATATATCTAACTCCTCTCCACTTTTTAAGTCCTTGCCTGTGATGTGTCACATCGGCCTTTCCTTTGTTAACACAACTCTATTGAAAATTTGCGTGCATGAACTCGACAAGCAAAATACACCCAGCTCACCCACATTAAATACGCTGAAAGTAAAGTGAATGACAATGATAATCTCTTTACAATGGCACCTATTAATAAGTGGAATAAGGGCTGGCAGCGAGGGACTTCACTTCTTGTTGGAAACAGAAAAAATGGATGAGTGTAATGATCTGAGAGACTTGGACAACGGCCAAATTGTTATGGCTAGATGGCTCGGTCAGAGTGTCTCCAATATGGCAGGTCTTGTGGGGTATTCCTAATATCCAGTGGTTGTACCGACCAAAAGTGGTCCAAGTAAGGACAACGTGGAACTCACAACAGGGTCATAGTTGCCTAACACTCATTGATGCATGTGTTGGAAACAAAGAAACTGCAGAAAGCAGCCTGGTTTGATGAATATTTGTTTTTTCACATCATGAGGATGGATGAGATGACACCAGGATACATGGGAAGAAGGACCATGACAATTGTTTCAAGGTGTTGACTTCAAATTCCATATATCAAAATCCTATTGAGCATCTGTGGGTTGTCCGATACATGGAATCTCCACCTTGCAAATGAAAAGACTTGCTGATTTGGTGACAGGAGGGTGACCAACACAATATTAGGCAATTGGATTTAGTATTATGCTTGATCAACAAACATAACAATTTTTATTGTGTTCATATTTGATTGGACCCGTGTTTTTCTCTTACCAGAAATTACTTTTCAACTCAACATACTTAACATATTTATTAAATTGTTTTTCAAGCTGCATATTCTGTTTTCCTCTTTCTATTTACATCCAGCTCATCGCTGCACCTGTTAATTCCCCATTCAAAAGCCAAGTTAATGTTTCCATTGGCTCCTGCCTATTGTAATGGTGCTTGACACAGTGTAAAGTGATGGAGAGGCAGGGTGACCTTTCACTGTGTCTGCCAAGCTGTTGTTGAGGCCATGTAGTTGTCAGCCTGCAGCGAGGAGGCAGAGAGGCACTGCTGAGAACAGTCATTAAGCACAGAGCAAAGCCAGCGCTCGGCAACACTCGACACTTTTGATCTGCACATTTCAATTAGATTTCACATCAGGATGCCTGCCTTCTCTCAGTTAGCACCTGCGCCCCTGCCTTCCCAACTGGCCAGCTGAAGAGGGAGGCACGCTCAGAAATGACTAAGTTCTGTTACCTCCTAAAATAGATGCACAAACACACGGCAACATTTAAGAGCTTTTAGCTGATATCGTAGTCATTACCTGCTTCTTTCTAGCTGTTAGCATTGACCATAAAATGTTTTTTAAATTATCCTTTTTTATTTATAGTCCTACTAATTTGTCCATGCTGAGCTCCTGCATGTGTATTCATCCCACTACTCCACATGTGCTCATATAGAGAAGTCTCGAGGTCTAAAAAAAAACCTAGCACAAGCTGTGGGGCTCGGGACAGATTAACACTTGAGCAGCGGATTTGCCATAACACAGTGCAGCACATTAATTTACCCTGAAATTTGAGATGGTTTCATTGAGCTCAGTCACCCTCAGTAAATCTTCCCAGCACTGCTTCTCTTGATAAGAAGGAGTCCTACAGCCACTGGTAGATATGAATTTCCCCTAAGAGCCACATCAAGGGAGATCTTATTAAAGTGGTCTGAGCCCACTGCGTCAAGCTTTTTATGCCAATCAAAGCAGCGATTGAGAATGACTAGTTTTGTCCTGAACATCAGTTACTCACACAATTTGGCGATAAAGAAACAAATATTGGATAATTCCGAACCTGTTTAACAACAGCAATCCTACTAGCCTCAAGTAGTTTTGTGTTGTATGACATAAGAAATAATAAAATTAAAGCTGCTGTTACCTTTATCTTTGCTTTGATATCAGCCTATTAGACTTTTAAATTGCTCGATTTGCTACCGTGTTGAGTCAGGAGCTTTTCATAACCCTTAAAAACTGTTCGACCATTTAATCAAATCCTTTTCCTGCCATTGTTTTTTGTGGTACATTTTGATAGAGGATTTTAAGCTGTTGCTGATAAGCTGTTAATGTGTTTTAGAGAGCAACGTGTTGTCTAATTTATGTCAGGTTTCACTGCTGAAACGGGGTAGGAAAACAATCAATAGCCATTAAACCCTGGGAGCTTTGTTGAACAGCAGTTATACAGACCTCAGACAGTGGATGGGTGCCCTTGGGCTTTAAAGATTACAGGTGACTTACCGCTCACCCGACAGTCACACCGCACCTTATGAATTTGTTATAGAGCCAGTGAGGACCACTAACAAGTGAGAGTTCATGGTGAGGGGGAAAAAGGCAAAGCCCCAAAGAAAAACGACATGATTGTCACTGACTCCTGTCGCCAAATTTCAAGACTTGTGTATTATGAGTGTGGCCAGAAAGCAGCAGTTAACATGCACAGGCTGCCTCAGCAAAGAGCTTTCTGATCCATGATTGCATGTGTTAATGTTTCAGTTGGGTATTGATTTCCTGGCAGCCTTTTGTACACAGGATTTATCCGCCTCACTCACTGGCAAGCGCGCCCCTCCGAATGTTTGATTAAAGTTCAATTGACTCTTCCAGTGAAGGGGCGAGAAGCCATTTCACTCCCTATTTGTAGCGCCAAAGCTCTGCCTGACATGTTCTTTTGTTCCCATTCAAGCTCCTGCCACCCAGGCAGCCACCAATGCACTGATCCTAATATCCCTGCATTCAGCGAGCCTCCTCGCCTAATCCTGGGACAGACAGGGCAGCAGCCAAACATACCCGGCCGGCTATAAATCCTGGCGTGGATTGACCCGCTTCATGGGGTTTCACTATGAAATTCTATGCTGACTGCTAATGTGTATATTCCACATATTTTCTTCAACCTAACTGCAGATGTTTCATAGTGGCAGTTTTCCAGTTTTTCTCTGGAACTCTGACAAATTTAAGCCCTTAAATTCTCTCACCTTTTCATTCCTCCAGCACACAGTTCATTGCGGGGGGGCGGGGCAGAGTGATCTGTAATGCCGTCTATCTCTCTGTAATTTGAATTCCATAGAACTTCATAATTATGTTAACCATATAGTGAATTATTGCATTTTGATATTTTGGATTTGATGAGAGAAATATTATGACTCGTGGCTGCTGTCATGGGCATTGTGGATGCCAAGGGGACGTGTCATCTCCTGATGCCTTCGCCTCGTTACAAATATGTGTGTTTGTGTTCTTGTGATATATTTTTCCCATTTTAACAGCATTTGTTTCATTTTTCATTCCAGGGAGAGCTAATTACCTTCTACTACTATTGGAAGAAGACCCCAGAAGCAGCCAGTTGTCGAGCCCACCGCAGACACCGCCGCCAGCCCGTCTTCCGCCGCATCAAGACACGAACTGCTTCAACTCCTGTCAACACTCCCTCACGTCCTCCCTCCAGCGAGTTCTGTACGTACATTTGACTCATTGAATGGCAGCTGAGGGGAGAGGGGGAGACGTTACCTGATATCCTCTACTGTTAGAGCGATGTGTATTAAGTGTTCTTCTTTGTCTCTTTTCTAGTGGACCTCAGCTCAGCCAGTGAAGATGACTTTGACAGCGAAGACAGCGAACAGGAGCTGAAGGGCTACGCCTGCCGCCACTGTTTCACTACCAGTAAGACACTTGGTTACTTTCACAGACGCTCACACTCGTCATACGGACTTGCTTGGTTATTCCTTTCCTGATTGGGATCAGTGTGAGCCTGCTCAATGCGGTGCTATGTGACAGATGGTCATGAGAGGATGTCAGGAATAATTTGATCAAATTAGACATGAGCCCAAAGCTCGTTCACTCTCTCCACATCATTATCCTTCCCCTCTTCCCACACAGCTGGCTCCCAGTGCCAGGCTGCCATCTGATCACACTTAGGTTACTGCTGTAACAACAGGGGTGGCTAATAACTTCTGCTTTATAGTGTTAACCTATACAGACCTTACTAGTACATTAATGTAAATACAGTCTGTAGTTGAGATATACATCATCCTTGATTCAGCTCCTGCATGAAAAATTATTACTTTTATTAGATAGTTATGTATTCATAGACTACCAAGTTAGTTAAGGACATTATCAGTATTGGATAATATTACTGTACTTGTGAGATCATTTCTGTGTGTTGTTTCTTTTTATCACTACATGTGAGATATTCTGTTTCACAACTGTAAATGGCTTTCCTCAGCCTCTAAGGACTGGCACCACGGGGGCCGGGAGAACATCTTGCTGTGCACAGACTGCCGTATTCACTTCAAGAAGTACGGTGAGCTGCCCCCCATCGAGAAGCCTGTGGACCCGCCACCATTTATGTTCAAACCTGTCAAAGAGGAAGAGGATGGACTCAGCGGGAAGCATAGCATGAGGACCCGACGGAACCGAGGCTCGGTGCGCACACACTCCTTTTCCCCTTCTATCTCTATTTTCACCTTCAAGAACCATAATCTCAGAGCTGTCCCTGGAGTAATGCAGAGCCAGACTACAATGCAGTATCTTATCGTCTGTAGACTACAGGGACAGCACTGACAATCATTAAGATTTATAAAATAATGAATATAAGTGATGATTTATATTGACTGTGTTTGATGTCAATAGATGTCAACACTACGTAGTGGTCGTAAGAAGCAGACAGCTAGTCCTGATGGCCGAGCCTCGCCTACTAACGAGGATTTACGCTCCAGCGGACGTACCTCACCCAGCGCGGCAAGTACCGACAGCACTGACAGCAAGACAGACTTAATGAAGAAGCCAAGCAAGGTAAACACAACATAGAATTTCAGAAACTCTGTTTTTTATGCACATATCTCTGTGAAATGTAACCTAATGGTTTTGATGCTTTTGCTCCACAGAAGATTAAAGAGGAGCCTCCTTCACCTTTGAAAAGTGCCAAACGGCAGCGAGAGAAGGGAGCTTCAGACACAGAGGAGTCAGAGAGAACCATTGCCAAAAAGTCCAAGACACAAGTGAGTCTATGGTTTTTGCATTGCCTCCTGTGTTTATATGGATTCCATAGACCTTGGGTCATAACGCTTAACTTTGTCTCTCTTCTGTCCCCTAGGAACTCAGTCGACCAGACTCACCCTCAGAGTGCGAGGGTGAAGGTGAGGGGGAGGGCGAGAGCTCTGATGGGCGCAGCATCAATGAGGAGCTTAGTAGCGATCCTAAGGACATTGACCAGGACAACCGGAGCTCCTCCCCGAGCATCCCCAGCCCCCGTGACAATGAGAGTGATTCGGACTCCTCTGCCCAGCAGCAGCAGCTCCTGCAGAGCCAGCACCCTCCAGTCATCCTGTGTCAGCCAGGCACCTCAGCAGCCTCCTCGGCACCTCCTCCACCTGCGACCTCAGCCCCCTCACTGCCCCCACAGGTTTCCCCCACAGCGGCCTCCACCTCTCTACCTCCCCAGCCCCTGCCCCAGGCTAGCCCGATGTCTCTTATCCAGTCAGGAGCGTCCCTTCATCCTCCGAGGCTTCCCTCTCCACATTCACCTCTGACTCAGGCTCCTCCTCCTGGCCCCCAAGTCCCACCTCAGTCATTACCCAGCTCGCACCATGGGCCTATGCCTCCCATGCCGCATCCACTGCAGCCCGGCCCCTCACACATGCCTCACCCTCATTCCATGGCCCCTCAGGGCTTCCCTGGGGGTCAGTCTCAGGTCCCACCCCTGCCAATCTCTGGCCAATCACAGCAGAGGTCGCACACACCTCCTTCCCAGTCGCAGTCATCAGCTCAGAGTGGAGGCCAGCCTCCCAGAGAGCAGCCCCTGCCCCCTGCCCCCTTGTCCATGCCTCATATCAAGCCCCCACCAACCACACCCATCCCTCAGATACCCAACCCACAGTCCCACAAACATCCACCTCATGTGTCTGCACCTCCATTTCCTCAGATGCCTTCAAACCTGCCTCCACCGCCTGCCCTCAAGCCCCTCAGCTCTTTACCCACCCACCACCCTCCATCAGCACACCCACCTCCACTACAGCTCATGCCTCAGGGGCAGCAGCTTCAGCCTCCCCCAGCCCAGCCTCCAGTTCTCACCCAGTCCCAGAGCCTCCCACCATCAGCCAGCCACCAGCCTCCTCCAGCCCCTCCACTGCCACCCTCCGCAGCAGCCTCACACCCCAACGGGCCACCGCAGCCGCCATTCTCATCCCATCCTTTCAATACAGTTCTACCTCCAACCGGCCCTCCCTCATCATCATCATCATCATCATCATCATCATCATCATCAAACTCTATGCCTGGCTTACAGCCTCCATCTTCCTCTGCTCCATCCTCCTCCATCTCCATGCCGCTGCCTGCCTCAGTCACTTGTGCCGGCCCGGGCCCAGCACTCCCACCAGTACACATCAAAGAGGAGCCTTTGGATGAGTCAGAAGAGCCCGAAAGCCCCCCACCCCCACAGAGAAGCCCCTCCCCAGAGCCTACTGTCGTCAATATACCCAGCCATGCCAGCCAGTCAGCACGGTATGTGTACAAACAGATATTTCAACCCTAACACATCTTAAAAGAGAAACACATATACCTGCGCAAGCTGTTATTTATCAGTCGACTGTTGAGCGGCTTACTGTCTTGTCTGGGGATGCTGATTAGCCCTCAGACACATGGAACAACAAAGCGTCTCTGCCTTCAGGTTTTAAGGCTTTGATGTAGGCACCAAATCAAATGTCCTCAGCAAAACAGCATCCAAGGCCACAATTAGCTTTGAGCTCTGAGTGGCTGATGGCTACGAATTATCTGGGATATTAATTACAGTGAACTGAGGCATCAGAATATGAGTATCTGTAGTTGCTTTGTGCTTAAGTGGTTCTCAGACTGCCAATGAATAGCAATGAGCATTTTAATATATACTTTGTGTAGCTACTAAGGGAGTTTGTTTCATTTTAAATACCAATGTGAGCGAATGCGATCTCATCTAATTGTACATGATCCTGCCCATGATTCATGCAGATGTTAAGAATAATTTAATGGCTCTAGCCTGTTTTTTCTGTTTGTAGGAAATATTTATGAATTCACTCATCAGTCGGTTTTTCATGGTAAATGTGTTGCATCCACAGGTTCTACAAGCACCTGGACCGAGGTTACAACTCGTGTGCGAGGACAGATTACTACTTCACTCCCCTGGCATCATCTAAACTGGCCAAAAAACGAGAGGACGCTCTGGAGAAAGCCAAGAGGGAAGCAGAACAGAAAGCAAGGGAGGAGAAGGAGAGGGAGAGGGAAAAAGAGCGAGAACGAGAGCGGGAACGGGAAAGGGAAGCTGACCGTGCTGCGGTGGGTGATTTGGGTTGTCTCATTTTTGTTAAGCAGTGATTGCATTGTTTTGATGCCTCTAAACATATTGTTTCTCTCATCACAGAAAGCCTCAAGTTCCTGTCATGATGGTAGGATGGGTGAACCTCAGATGGTCGGCCCCGGCCACATGCGCTCACCCTACGACGGCCCCCCCACTACGATTGCAGCTGTACCTCCGTACATCGGCCCTGATACCCCCGCCTTGCGCACCCTCAGCGAGTACGCCAGACCCCACGTCATGTCCCCCACCAATCGCAACCACCCCTTCTTTGTGTCCCTCAACCCCGCAGACCAGCTGCTGGCCTATCACATGCCCAGCTTGTACAACGCTGACCCGGCCATGCGGGAGCGCGAGCTTCGAGAGCGGGAGATGCGTGAGAGGGAGATTCGCGAGAGGGAGCTGAGGGAAAGGATGAAGCCAGGTTTCGAGGTTAAGCCTCCAGAGATGGACACACTCCACCCTTCTACAAACCCCATGGAGCACTTTGCCCGGCATGGGGCCATCACGTTGCCCCCTATGGCCGGCCCTCACCCATTCGCCTCCTTCCATCCGGGCCTGAACCCATTAGAACGTGAGCGGTTAGCCCTCGCTGGGCCCCAACTGCGGCCAGAAATGAGCTACCCAGAGAGGTTGGCTGCAGAGAGACTCCATGCTGAGAGGATGGCCACAGTGGCCAACGACCCCATCGCCCGTCTACAGATGTTCAACGTTACGCCGCACCACCACCAGCACTCGCATATTCACTCCCATCTTCACCTCCACCAGCAAGATCCTCTTCACCAAGGTAAAAGAAAGCCCTGCTTAGCTAAATGAATGTCTCTGTTAACATTATACATTATAACACATTTTAGTAGTTACGTTAAAATCAAAATGTCCATTTGGAGCAATTAAATGCTCCTATGTATCATTTGAGAAGTTTGATGCATTTATAATATTTATTGATTGTTCCTGTAAATACATTTATAAATATGAAGACTGATAAATCAATCTTCAACTAGTCACTATTATAATATTCTTTACACCTTTGTAGGCATTGTCACTGTGTTTTTGAACTTTCATGTTTTTTTATAGCATGATCATTATTTCTGTAAATGTAAATTAGTCTATGAATGTTTTAGTTTAACTGTCTTTGTGTTTTATTGTGATTTTCATGTTACTGTGAAATATTATGTATTTATAGATTTGAATATGAAAAGGTTGATGATGACGTTAACAAAGATAAGCAAAAGAGCCACTGGTCATTTTCTAATGTTATCACTTGATTTAATTTCACTTTAAGTAAACTATTGTAACTTATTTATTTATGATTAATACTGTAGAATGAACACACGAGAAGAAGAATACAAGTTCCTCTATTATTTAAACTTATAACGTTATAAAACATTTCAGTCTGGAAGACTGGATTAAACTAAAACAAATGCCAAAGTCACATTTATTTGAGCGAGTATAAATATTGCTAACTTGTTAAAAACAGTGAAAAATATGTGGACAGCAAACAGGAGCTGATATATATTTAGTATATCGATAGTAGAATAAGCGTGTGAACTTTGCAGGATTTTGTTTACAACGTTGTGATTCCAGTTTATAGGACATTTATTTATAATGAAACAATAGCGTACAGTAAAGCATCTGTACAATTATGTAAAGCAAACGTTCATATTGATGAGCCGGTTAAATAATGTAATAAGAAAGTCCTTTTCTCATAAAGATCCGACGTCATCAGTCAGTTTGTAGTTATTTAAATCAAGTTAAATGAATCCAGTTGCATCTCGTCTCCCATCACAGTAACAAGTAAACAAAAGGGACTTTAAATTCATATTAACTCAACTTCCACTCTCTGTAGTTTTTACCATATGATGTGTGTGTCATATTTTATTCTCTGCAGTCAGTTTTCTCACTGACATATGAGATCAAGTTATATCTAAAGTTTCTGATAGAGGCAGCAGATGCTCCTCAGTGTATAAATATACAAGTACAGTGGTCCCTGCGCTCTTTTGCTCAACCTTGAGAGTAGTAATACAATATGAAGCTGTGTATTACTAATGTCTGTTGCATGAATTGTCAATGAGTGCACCTTGAACCTAAGACTCTGACGGCCAGAAGGTGGTGGTGAATGTCTTGTGTGTCCGTCAGGTTCTGGGGGCCACCCCCTGGCAGTGGACCCCCTAGGAGGTGGACCCCACCTGGCCCGCTTCCCTTATCCGCACGGCGCCATCCCCAACCCGCTCCTCGGCCAACCGCCACACGAACACGAGATGCTGCGCCACCCAGTCTTCGGTAAGCTCTCGATCAATATAAGCTCTCATTAACAAGAATATCATATCTGATCTATCGGTCTCACTTCTGCAACGTTCCCTGATCAGATCTTTTGTTTGCGCCCTCCTCCAGGTACGCCATACCCCCGGGAACTACAAGGAGGTCTGCCGCCGCCCATGTCCGCAGCCCACCAGCTGCAGGCCATGCATGCACAGTCAGCGGAGCTCCAGAGGCTGGCCATGGAGCAGCAGTGGCTCCACGGACACCATCACATGCACGGAGGACCACTGCCTGGCCAGGAGGACTACTACAGGTCAGATGAGCAACAGACGTTAGAGTCATTAAGATAAACCTGAGTTGCTGTACCTTTGATTTTCCAAATATTAATATTCAACTTTGTTTGTGTTTCAGCCGGCTGAAAAAGGAGAGCGACAAGCAGCTGTAACAAGCCGAGGGAGGAGGCGACACACAGGTGCAGGACACAGGAAGTTGTTACAGAGCGGTCTTGCAGAGTCTCTACAGGCTCCTCTTGACACATTCAGTTTGGAAGAACAGAAAAGGCCAAGTGGATCGTCTGAGAAGTCCCCTGATATTTTGGTTTTTGTTCTTATCAAGGACTTTTTTTTTATTATTATTTTTCAAGACATTGACTTTCTTTGGTATATAGCCAGTAGTGACGACGTCCTCAAGACTCCTGCATGACAAGCTTCCCTGACGTTTTTTGTAGGTGCTAGAACAAGACACTGTGCTTATCAACAAAAAAAAGACAACACCGGTCAGGCCGTTTATTGAAAAATAACAAGTGCTATCTTAAATTCAACATTTATTTTAATACATTGTTGGAGGTTTTTCATAATTTTGAGAAAAGCTATAGCATGGCGTTTTTGAGTCTGTAAATAGTATATATAAACATATAATTATTATTATAATTATTATTATTACTAGGTGTGGACTCCAAACCAAGTCGTTTCAACCTCCAATATAGTTGTTTTGAAGCATTATCCCTTGTTTCAGAGGGGAGCACAATGGCATTATATGAGCAGTTTCTGAGAGAGTTGCCGTTCAGTTGAGACGTTCCTCTGACATCACTGTGTTAGATTTAGATCCGCACACACGGTGTAAATCATAAACCCATCACACCACACACACACATTGTCAGAATGTGCAAACTCAATACGTTGAGTTAAAAATGATGAGATACACTTGAAGAGGTGACGCGGCCGTCGCCGAGGCTTCCGTCGAGTGCACGCCGAAGCCGGAGTTTAAAAAGAAACAAACAAAGCTTGCACTGAAAGTTTCCTCGAGCCCCACTCGATTGGTTTTAGTCCTTTTCTTTAAGAATCAATATTTAAGTCAACAACATGGATCGATGCTTCCATGACTTTGTTGTTTTTACAGAGAATGATTTTAACAATGTGGACATCAGTAACATCAGGCTGAAATGAAGACATTTTCCTTTAAATGAACGGGACTTGAATTTTAACGTTGTGCGCTATGACCAGAGCCTAACAGGACTTTAGGATTGTTTTTAAACGTGTGAATGGTTGTGAGTCGGTGCTCGTTTGTGTTGTGGTGCTTCACCTGGTCCAGTCGTCCATGTTTGTTGCAGGGCTCATGTCAGAGGAAGTCGTCCTCCAGCGCTATAGGCTGTAATTCACTTCACTCTGACACTAGAGGGGTCCTGCTGACACGCGACCACCAGCAGGTAGACAGTTGACGAGTGTGTGAGAGAGTGAGTGAGTGTGTGTTGTCCTCACTATGTTTTCATATGCCTTGGTTCCTGAGGGATACACACAGTCTCCTGTGTGTTTATGTGCCACTGACTGTTACCAGTAGTGTTGACCCGTCATATCAGTGCACATGAGCCCAACTTCATTACTATTTTTTTATCCATGACATATTTTCTGCATTTGTTCTGTGCACTAAGACTGTTTTAACTGTCATGACGTTTAGAAAACTGTGGCTTTTATTTTTTATTTTAACCAAATGAAGAAACTGTACGTGCATTTAAAATGATCATATCTTCTCTTGGAGCACTATGATTTGCATTTGAACGGTTTGGAACATCATTAAACTCATTCCCCCCTTTTAAAGATTACAAAAACATCTTTAAAGCCCTGACCACAACCTGTCACTCTGTCTTGCCACCTCCCACTGACTCCTGTCTCTCTTCTGACGATGTACTCCTCATCATCATCTTCGTCATCATCATCCTTTGCCTCGTTTCCTGATGATTCCCTCGCCTTTTACTCTCCACTTTTTGTGTCTCCAAAACCTTTGATGTTAAGTGTTGTCAATGGTTTAGCTTCTTGTTTCAAAGCGGCAATAGCAGAATGTAAATTCTGACTGCTAAGATTTATATATATACTGGTATCTTGAAGCTTATTGTATATATGAGTAGTCGCCATGGGATGACACAATGTAAACAAAAAGTAGAAATAATAAGAAAAATTGTGAGTCCTGTGTTCTCTCCATTTGAGTATTTTGTAATTTTTTTGAAAAATTTGTGGAATTAAAATAAACGACTAAGTTACACCACAACCTGAACCTTCATCTTGTTTTTTTTGTACTGAATTAATCATCTTTTTCTCTGTAAACACAATTGTTTGTTCCCAGCAGCTTTGAGACCATAATCCTGTTTTAAGGGCAAACCCTTTAGATCACTCGCTGCTCATTGACTGAGCTCCTAAGACAGAAACAAGAAACTGTGTTTTCACATTTTTGGGAATGCGATTCTTCAGCTGAGCAGAATGACTGTTTTGATAATACTCTTGTCCTACATTTGCTCTTGAATAATAGAATTTTTGCTTGACGGGAGAAATGTGCTAGAGAACAGATCAAGCATTGCTGTTTCATTCCTTTTTTTTCCCCCCGTCTTCCATTTTCTCAGCTTCACAAACAGTGAGCTTGAAGAGATGATCCCAGCAGCAGGTAGTGAATCTCAGGGCTGAATATTGCTCTGCTGTGGTATAATAACATCAAAGCCAGACTAAGCCAGAAGGAACACCTACTCAGGCTGAGATGCTTTGCTATCAGCGGGGCCGGGGCTGTCATTTCATCCTGCGTGTGTGGGGGAATGATAGACCTGGCAATCTGTGATGCTGTGCCGCGGCGATGGCTGTCATTTCGAGAGGGAGCCATTATTCTGCTGCTGCTCTCTGAAATGATGTCCTGTCCTCGGGAAAATCGAGGTTCCTTGGATGCTCTATCCCGGGGCTGTCATGTGACGGCCGCTTGTGAGGAGGTGCTGCTTGTTGTTGCCGGCTCGCCTCACCTCCCCATAAGACACAACAAGACGTCAGAGCCGAGCAGCGGCTGGCTGGTTGAATAATTCATCTCCCCTCCTCCTCCACACCGGCAATGGAGCGACTGTGACTTGTGTCATCTCAAATCCTTCTCATAATACTGTGTGTACCCCTCAGGCAGGCACACAGGAATACATGGTCTCAAAAACATCAGCTCCCTCCGTCTGACTAGCAATATGTCTTTTGCTGTCCTCGCAGTGTTATTGTGTTTTTCTGCAGCAGGTTCTTGGACACAGAGCCTCCTCATCTCCTCCCGTCCCCACTGTTCCTGCCTGCAGAGAGTGATGCTCAGTGGCAGAGGAGCCTACATGCTATTAGTGCATTCAGTCGGAAGCTAGCCGTGCTCCTCCGGCGGGTTTCTCTGTGGCTGCCCCAGAGACGAGCAGGGCCCTGTTTATCTGAACAAGAGCCGTGTTGACACAGAAACTAAATCTGCGGTGGACTCGTTCCTCATCCACCGTCTGAGTTAGATACAAGAGCCACGACACCAGATAGATTACGTCTGGTGTTCTCCTGAAAACCATCATCCTACTTGTTAGTTTTATGTGCATGGAGTCCACTCCAATAAAAACAATGGGCCTCATTCAGCAACCGTGCTTAAGAAGACATTTTCTACTTAAAACCCACTGATGTAGTTTTTTTTATATTCTGAGATTCACCAATGTTTCCTTATCTGAGATTTGTAGAACAGAATCAACGCAGGGGCGTTTTCAAATCTGCAGTTCTACACTTTTAAATGGGATTTAATATTACCATAATATTTGATCAATTTTATTTATTTTTAAATATCGGTGCATAATTTTGCAAATTTGCAAGTTTTTAAAGATTTTAAACACATGGACGTGTTGAAGAGGAAAATATTTATTGACAATAACTCACTTATCTTTAGGTTTTACACACTGGTGTTTCCATTAAATGTGTCACGTGCTCCGTGGTTTCACATCTACAGCTCACTGCAAACAATTCTGCAGTTTGAGAACACGTCATGAATCTTGACATGACGTTTTCTTAGGAACCTTCTGAAGAGAAAAGTTAAAGTTTAAACAACTTAAGAATATATTGGTTCATTGGTCCCATGTTTCCTCTGGATTAGTTTCTTCCTCAGTCATATCTTGAATGATATTCAGTTTTTCACCTGCGGTGATGAAAACATCTCGGCACAGCTGTAGGAATCTGATGCAAATAAATGTAATTAAAAGCATTTAAAATGCAAATGAACCGGGCTCAGATATGCATAAAAGCATTTTATTTAAAACAAGGTTGGTCCCTGCGTTTCAAACGTCTGAATATTCATATCACTGAAACAACCTTTTTGCAGCAAAAGCTTAAAGTAAGGTGTGATAGTCTGCTTCATGGTAAAAAAAAAAAAAAGAAAGAAAAGAAATCACTTTTCTATGTGAAGTTCGAACAGAGGTCTTACAGAAAACGACACCTCCGTCACATGAAGGAGGCTGTGGAATCAAACCTGAAACGTCCTTCAGATGTTCAGACAATCATCCCAGAGTTTGTCCAGGGCCTGTGAGTCAGTCTTCATCTTCCCATCCAACTTGGCTGCTCGCTTCTTCTGATGTAATCTGTGTGTGACTGGTATAGTTAACCTTTTAAATATATATGATACATTGCTACTAATTAAAGTATTTTAAGGCAGTGATTCAAGCCAGTGGTTCTCAAATAGGGGTCGGGGGG